TGTGACCTATTTCGTAAAGAAGCGTCAATGGAGTGAATTAATTCAGACGAATAGTAACAGATTGTAAGTTATTATATTTGTTAGTACCTATCCTCGCACACTTATCACAACTTTTATATTCTTATCTATTAACTTATGTTATCTTGTAGAAGTTAGTAAGAGTAACAGCCTATAAACATCCTACTGCTGGGCACTATTCCCACTGTTGTTTTTAAAAAAAGGCCTCATCTGTACAGATGGTATAGTCAACCATGCGTCCCCACTGCGGATTGTCGGATGTCACATGTTTTCGAAAAAAAAATTTTTTTTATTATAATATTTTATTCGAATGAATCGAAAATATGCAGATTTTCACACGATGTTTACTTAATACGTAAGTGTACTTAATACGCTCACAAGAAGTTATACTTCTTTAGATTAAAAAAGAAAAAATACTAAAAATTAGATCCCCTGGGTATATTCTTGTGCGGTATTCTTTGTTTGTGCAACATACATTAAATGCCTATCCTCGCACACGTATCACAACTTTTATATTCTTATCTATTAACTTATGTTATCTTGTAGAAGTTAGTAAGAGTAACAGCCTATAAACATCCCACTGCTGGGCACTATTCCCACTGTTGTTTTTAAAAAAAGGCCTCATCTGTACAGAGGGTATAGTCAACCATGCGTCCCCACTGCGGATTGTCGGATGTCACATGTTTTCGAAAAAAAATTTTTTTTATTATAATATTTTATTCGAATGAATCGAAAATATGCAGATTTTCACACGATGTTTACTTAATACGTAAGTGTACTTAATACGCTCACAAGAAGTTATACTTCTTTAGATTAAAAAAGAAAAAATACTAAAAATTAGATCCCCTGGGTATATTCTTGTGCGGTATTCTTTGTTTGTGGAACATACATTAAATGCAACCGATAGCGGTTTTATTAAATAGCTCGAAATGTCAAATCGTTCTTGGTTGTCATGGTAATACTGTAAAGTTGTGAACTTCATCATAATTATCATACTAATTTTGGGTTCTGACGAAAATTTACTATTTTGTGGTTTGTCGTTTAAGTACATCAAATATGTTTTCTTACGACGAAATATAATTTTGACGTGACTATCCTATTCTCATAACGTAGTAAGATCCCAAATTGATGTTTAATAAATTTTAGAAAGTACAAAACTGGCTTCTTATTAAAAAAAATTATTGAATGTACTTCGCTTGGAAGCGCCCTTATTATGTATTTTACGAATTTCCGCGCTATCGAACAACACGCAGAGCGTCTTTGGATCGTAACTTACACAAGTTCATGACTCCATGACCTACTAGGCCCCCTATGGGCATAACAAATAGGTTATGATCTCTTTGCATCATATTATCTAGCGCAACAAATTTATGACACAATCTCTCGATGAATAATAAACAGCTTATCGGGAATTTAATGCCAGTAATACTATAATCTACGTAAAATAAGTGAATCGATTACGTTATCGGTCACAGAGCTGTACTAACAAAGTCACTTAATATTATTTTTATTTCTATGATGACGTTCATTGTGCATGTAACTTTTATAACTATTACGTATAGCTAAATTTATGACTTAGCTATACGAAATAACAACAATTATGATGATAGTATAACATAAAATAGTAACACATTCTAAATATTACTATATTTTGAAAGTGGAGTATTTAAATAAGAAAAAAATTAAATCGTCAATTGCATACCAACCTACCTATTACATTATGTTGCAGCATTAATTGATAAAAACAGCCTAACACTGTATACCAGCATGGATTTTTAAAAAAAAAAAATGATCTTTCTTTAAAAAAATCCCAGTGAAACATAACACCATAATCTTCCCACTGACGCAACGACGTGCTGTGATGATTCACTGCAATGTTCATACTTCATAACATAATAGGAACACGTAATATTGTGAGGGGTTAGTTCACTATTTACTCTTATAGGGCTTCGGCTTTTCGATGACATAAGAAGACATCGAGGTCATTGTTCATAAGTAACGAACAGGAATGTTTAAGTTGGGTGCAATATTGAAACCGTATGTTAAAAAAATATTAGGTAAAACATTAGTTTTCTTATAGACGGGAAGAGTGTTTCAAAATAAATTTCCCGTCAAGTTACAATATAGATAGGCTTGTCCAACCCAATCATTTGTCCTCTAGCGGTAACAGTTACCGTATTGATCGGGCAAAACCCGAGCCATTAACTATGCTACGCATATTGTTTGCGCACGGCCTTAGTTCGTTTTTAAAATTATAAACTGGCTAGAACTTGATTATTTGGTAACTCATCGCAATGACATACAAACTAAGCAAGTATTGTCAATAAATGCCTATTCCCTCTTCCTATGAAGAAAACTAGAATCTAGCCGCCTCCTTTCAGACGCGGGGAATTGAGAAATTTTCAACAACAGAAGTATGAAGGCCTGCTGAGCTAAGTCGTCTAAAATTATATGGGGGATGATGGTGCAGCAAATACATCGATGATTATGAACGTAAATATAAATATACACAAGATGACGTATGCTAAAAATTCTGGTTATCCTGACGTAATGACAGTCAGACTTTATTTCAGATATACAAAAGTACTCTTTGCTGACAGTTTCTAATTTTGAAGACTAGATAAACAGTTGTTTATTCAACTATTGTGAAATGTGAAATTGTAAATTTGCAATGTATTCCAAAGTGGATGCTCTATCGTGATATGTTAAATACAAATAGTAAGACAAACTACAATTTTTTCAATAAATTTTTACTTATCGTTATTATTAGGTATAATATTTTATTTGAATTAGCTTAATTGTTTTGGTTGTAATTGATTCTTCTTACCTATGTCTCTTTATTTTCTATTCATTCATAATTCTCAGATTAGAGGAGAATTGACTGGTGACTGAACAAATTATTTATAATTGCAAGTGTGGTGTAGTGTTTCCCAAATAAGTAATATACTGTGTTGACAATGTTTTTTGTTGAAACTACCAATAAGCAAGCCATAATAATTCGAATAATGTCAATGAGTGGTGAAGAATTTTTTATTAAATAAAAATGTTGCTCTTTCTATAACCATGCCTTTTTATTTAGTAAAACATGAACTTTATTGGCACAAATATAGATCTTATACCTTAATTCACATTTTAAAGCAGTTTTCTTTTCAATTAAGTACTTCATATTTTGTTATAAAAAAGAAAAATGTCTACGAAATTTTCAATTTGTACATTTAGTTATTATTAACTTTTTTATCTTTAAAAAGATACATAATACCTAGTTTTACAGAAAAAAATAGTGACTAGGTAGAAAGATAGGTAGAGAAATTTATGTTTACATTAAGTTTAAAAATAATTTATCATTGAACTCATAAAAAATCGGTACAAATTAGTACAACTAAGGCCTTGAATATATCAGCGTAATTATTACACAAGTGTAGGAAATTTACTAGCAAGGGTATTTTTTTCATTAACTAATAAATAATACTACACAAAATGATTTTATGACTACTAACACTATGAAGTTTTATGGAAAGCCAAAACATATAAACCACAATTAAAATACAATAATATTTTCAATTATAAAATCAAGCACTAAATCACCATCTCATAAGTACTAAGGGTGTTTTGCACTCTTCAAAAAAGATCTCTGCTGGTTTTTTATTGTTTGATTACCTCAGAACTCTGCCAGTTGCAAAAGATTTTAAAAATTATTTTAGCATTGGGTTCAGATGTGGTCTCATATTAATTGTAATTTGACCTGCAATTCTTGACTGTCAGAGAGATATTTGTTGGTTTTTGGTTTTTTTTTTTTTCTAATAATATAACCTAATAATATGAAATTATTATCAAATTATCTCTTCTTCAAATTTCAATGAATCAAAAAGTATCAAAGATCTTTATTGTGCTTATAAATTTTAACAATTACAAGAGGCATCTATTCCATTTAATTTAACCGCTTCCATAATATTTCTGCTAGGTGATTGATAAGAAAATTTGTGAGATTATAATATGTTACACTATTCATGTTTAATGATTCAATATCCTCCTTGGGAGTTAGAATTGCAGATTTTGACCAATGTAAATGCATTAAAAAACATTTAAAGGTTTCTTTGGTATGAGTTTGGAGAGCTCATTGCTTACATTGTTGTTAATTTTATAATAACGCTGTAAACAATTAGTTTTCCAGACTAAACAAAAATGTTGAAAAGGAAAAATTCACTTTCTAAACAAGACTACACATTAAATTTATAGCAAATCTCTAAGCAGGTACATTGGACTTATTGCTTGGAAAATATTGGTAAAATAAAATGAAAAAAATTGTCAATCAATCATTAACAATGGTTATATACTTCATATGAAGTATTTATCTGAACATGCTAAAACATATTATTTTGATCGTATTTTTAAATAGATAGGGAGAGCTTTAAAACTGATTTGTGCATTAGGAATTGAGCACAGAAAACAACTTGATTGTATTAAGTTTTTAACAAATAAAAAAATACCTTTATAATACATAGAAACAACTTGCCAGAGCTATTATTAGCAAAATATATCTACAATTTTTATCCACTGATAAGACATTCACTACACTTTTGTTTAAAAAATCTTTAAATTTTTATCATTTGGCTTTGAGACTGACAGAAAATAATATTGAACAATGTGAAATCTAAGACTTCAGTTTTTCATATCAAGCTTTTTATAAATGTTCCATTGGTGTTCAGTTTCTTGTTATGTAAGATTTCAATGCTTTTAAAAGGTTTTTTTTAAATTGGCTCTATGGGTTATTAGGCTAAAGGTATTCAAGTTATTACTTGATACAAAATGAAACTAAGAAATGAATAAAAGTTAAGTTTATTAAATAACCTCATAACTTACTGAGATTCCCATACACGCCCAGCCCTACTATAGCTATATGTACAATGTGGGCCACTTATTCTATATATACATAACGTGCGGGAGACAGGCTTTAATCACAGGTGGTTAAATAAATTGCTCTAAACTGGTGCTCCCACCTCTTCTTGATAAGACCTTGTCAGATGGGCAGCAGCAGCTGTAAGATGACGAAGAGAGTGGCGAAGACCTCTCAGATGACGACGGCAAGCAGCTGCAGCACGAGCAGCAGATTCTCTTTCGTCCTCTCCATCTATGCCAGAGTCTCCAGCAGCACTAGATGCATCACTCTCTGTGTCACTCAAATCGGATACTCTTCTAGCTCTGTCACCATGCTCTTCAACATCACCAGCCCACAGCAACTCAGTCTTCAAATCATTCAACATAGCAAATAGACTGAACGGATCATCATCGCCCTCTTGTGGCAGGTTCATTAGGCGACTCGGTACCAGCACAGTTTCATCCATTGTGTTAACCATTTTTACAAATTTTTCCATGTCATTTAAAATGCTTTGCTTGGAGAACTCTGTGTTATCATTGCGGGCAATTTTTCGTAAGGTATTTCTGCAACAAAAAAGTTGAGTGTTAAACGAGTCATTAACTATGAAATGGATTGTGACGTTTATACAGGAAGTTAACATCATTTTGTTTCACAAATTAAGCACCGGAGATTTAACTATAAGTAGTTTTAATAATAAAGTAATGATTACTCTGGGCACTTGTGATCATTTTTTGAAACAAAAACACGAGAACGTTGAAACCTTAAAAATGTTAAATAACCTTCAACTGTATTATTGAATAATATTAAGTCTTTATTTGCTAAAGAACTAAGCCTTAAATCAGTGAAATATATAAAAAATCATTTAAATATCAAGGCATATTGAATGATGAGTGTATTAGGACCACGTAAAAAAAGGGGTAGACTAATAATCACATGACACGATGCCATTCGTAATGAATGATTAGACCTCAACCTAAATTTTAACGATAGGGAGGCAGGTAGTCAACTCACGCATTGCATCATTTCAAAGAAAACGACGCTACCATGTCAATGTGAAAGGAATGTCGAATTTCATCAACATAAAAACTGATATTGAATGTTAAAAATAACAATTATTCACTTTAAATAAAATGCATAGAATATATTATGCTACGTTATTATTAGGTCAGGATCCGTGGCATGAGCTTTAAGGTTAACACTTTCCGTACCTGCTGCTTTCCAATTTAGAAGAAATGTCGGTATTGAAAGACATCTTGTGTTATTTAATGGTTTAAATATCACTGAACGCACCCCTTAATTTTTCACAATATTTTACGTTATGAGGTAAGAATTAAACACGAACTAATTGATTCAAATTCACCAAGCACTAACATGAGCAACAGAACAACTGCACGCAATGGAGCGATTTGACGTTTTGCGAAAGGTGGGGAGCGTCCTCCGCTTTTTATATGACTCGATCATACGATGCGGGGGAAGCGTAGTATGAAAAAGTTTTGTTACTGATTTATGGCATGATAAAGTATTTAAATTGCCTCATTGATTGTTAATAAACCATTTCATTGTTATATGTTACGTATCACTATTTTGCGCAAAACCATTCCATATTTATGTCATGAAAGTAGCTTATATTCGAACGTAGGGGCGATGGCTAGGCGCGTCCCACCAAAGTCACACCACATACAGACGCTATGATTGGCTTATTCAAAACTACATTTTTTTTTATTGGTTGGTCGGTAATACAGAATGCGCGGAGTATTTGAAAATAATGTTGCCAAGTCTTTTAAACGATTCGTCCATAAAATTACTAAAAACCTGCTAATATAAAATATGTTGAAAAATAAAGTTAATATGAAAAATAGTTTCTGATTAGGGTACAGGTTCTACTTCAAAGAAGCTTAAATAGCCTGTGGACTGAATGCGATAACATCAAAAAGAAATAAAATTAATTATTGAAACCACATTATTCATTTTCTAGCATTGTCCTGTGTTGAACTGTATAAACGACCTAACGTAGTCGATTTACAACCACCTTCATCATGTCGTTTTAAGGTGTTGTGCCCGCGCATCGTAAAAATTTTTCTCTCATAATTCTTTCCTAACGCGTCCAAGTAGAAAGAACTTCAAAAACATTTAAATGTTTGATCGGGAGGTGGTTTTACACACTAGTAACACTAGACAGGTCACAAAATTAAGACAAGACAGGCCGTAGGGATGGGCAAGTAAAAAAAATATATTATCAATATTTATCGTATCGACATGTTTAAACAGTATCGATAATTATCGAATGAAAAATATTGATAAATCGATATCTCTTCAGTTTTAGCATGAATATGGCAACATACATGTAGGACAACATACATATTTCCAAACCATTCAAAATTAGTAAAAGAATAGACAGGTAGAAAATTGTTAATATGTTGAAAAAATTAATCCGAAAATTGCTAATTGTGTTTTAACTTCATATACGTCTCACACTGATGGTTTAATGGTATTTTCGTGCACGCAGCCAATAGTGTTTCTGCTGTTATATTGCATTTCATATAGATTGGTGGAAGCATCTAGAATAATTAAACACGAAACCAGAATTGCTTTAAAAAAAGTGTGTGCGTGTAACCTTTACGCGCGATTGAAGTAAAACTTCTTTGGCGTTGACGGCATATATCAATGAAATGATTAAATATTTAGTAACGTCGTATATGTCATATCTTAAAAATATGACTTATACTTATGACGTTACTTCCGTCAGAAAAAGCGTTAATTCCGTCAGAAAAATCTGAGTTACTTCCTAGTCGCGCCTAAAGAAGTTTTACTTCAAAAATATAAAGAAATTGACACGAATTCGATATTATAAAATAATTATCGAATATCGATATTAAAAATATCGACGACATATCTAAAATTGTTTGGAAAAATATCGGTACTCTTTGCCCATGCCAAGCCGTCTTAGTAGCCAATATGTATTTCTATTTATGGAGAAAACGGGCAAACGAGCAGGAAGCTCACCTAATGGTAAGTGATCACCGCCGCCCTTAAACACCTGCAACACCAGAGACAAATGCGTGGCCGACCTTTTAGGAAAGAGTATGCTCTCTTCTTGAAGGTTCCCATGTCCTAACGGTTTGGAAAGACCGTTGACGGTAGCTGGTTCCACGGAGTGGTTGTGTGAGGCAGGAAATGCCTTGAAAATCGCGTTGGACATCAAGGTGGTGTGATTTTTTTTAAATATCTGCCTTCCGCTCTGCTTTATTTTTTTTTTGAAGTCATACTTCTTTTGGTATACATATTGGAAGGGGACTTGGGAACTAACGAGGGTAAAAATTTTACGATTCGCGCGCACACCGACGGCCAAAAAGCAACAAGACATGATGAAGACTTAAACCAGAGGCCAACTTGACGGTATTACCATGGCAACCAATAACAACTTTTGACAAAAAAGTTTTGCCCTCTTTTTTTATTTAAAACATATTCTATAAGAACAAACTTATTATTACGAAGACAGACATCGAAATTACCAGATTGGTTTAGTTAGTAGGTATATATAATAGTTTTTCAGTTATTTTCAACATCATGTCGTACAGCATTTTGTTTTAAAGCGTCTGATATAAATTCTATATTTATTCTTAAAAAAACAGCTGTCCGAGCAATCTATAGCAGCAGCACTCAAAGGTTTTTAAGGAGATTAATATAGATGTTGCGTCTCAATATATTTATTGTAGTATTTTGTATGTCAGACATAATCTTAATAATTATGTAAAGAATAGTGACAGATATAAACTAAATACTAGAAATAACGACAAACTAACTACGCTATTGTTTCATGTATAAAAATTTCTTACTATTTTTTGTTGCATTGTGTAATGTAACAAAAAGACATAAAAATATTTTATGTTTTGTTTATTAGAGAACTTAACTTTACATTTTGGAAAATTTTTTATTCAAGAATAATGATTAAAAAAAACTATAAAAAAACTTTCTTTCAATAATAAAGGTGAAAGGCCAATGAATTAATATATTAAGTGTTAGTTTACTGATTGTATGCAAATTTTTACCTAGTTGTTTATATTAACATGTTAATGTAAATTAATATTAATACATACTATTTAATAGGCGAAATGGAACTAAAAGGTGTTTTTGAGGTTAAATGTATCAATAAGGGCGATTATAACAATACATAGGTACCTAGTTTGTTATGATGGTGTGACGTTATACGTTGCTAATGGAAATATACATTTTAGTTTATTTCTTATTGATTTTTTTTTCTGATGAGGTGTATTTTATGAGGTGTACCAACGAATTCGCGCCCTTCGATTTAGCACTGGTAAGAGTCAGAAGAGGCGCTCGAGTCCGTGAAACGGCAGGAAGGGCATTCTGCTTTCATTGTCTGGTACGCTCGGCTCAGTCAGGAAAAATACGCACGTAAACGCTTCATTGAACCTATCCTGCCGATGATAGAAGTCTGAATGCAGTGACGGGAAGGTAGACTCACTTAAAGATTTACACAGATAATTACTTGGGGCGGATGCTTTGGTCATTATCAATGCAAAATCGGATGTGAGGCGACGGCGAATTGTTTCCACTGCGAGGGGAGCTACCAGGTCTCCGCAACGCATAACCTTGTGGTGCCCAGCATTGTAGACGGAGTGGGTGGTCCTGGTAAGCTACATTGGACGAAACCTTTCTTTACCAGAAGTCGTGTCGCCGATGCAGAGTGGAGATATTGCATGGAGGGCCGTAACCTCTTTCTGCGAGATCGTGATGGTCAAGAAGGAGGCTGCTGGGTTCGAAAGAGGTGAGAGTATACCTCGATACAGTCCTCCGTATATAAATGTGTTCTTCTGCCTGAAACGGGACTTCAGCGATCGCGGGCGACTGGGGCAACCTTTATAACTCAGTAAAGCGAACCTAAAGACTTCAATCGCTTGAAGTAGTTTCAACCCATCGTGATTGCTCTACAGGGGCGGGTTCAGTGAATTTCTTTTTCTGGGATATCCCGGAGATCATGACAGCTGATGGCGACCACCGTGCGGGTTTAGTCGGTGTGAGTCCGACATACTCTTGCTTGCCCATATGTGAGAGGCCAGGTATCCGTAACGGATTTCCCCATAAGAAAAAAAGGGGTAATGATCTTAAATTGGAACAATTAAACATATTGGATCTAGATCGTAGACACAATAATGTCAATGCAACCAAAGTTATGATATTTTATTGATCTTGTGAATATGTGAATACGGCATATTGTTGAATGAGAATATTATTACAGTTTTATGTCGAAGTGTGCTTGTGTTTAAATATTTGGCGTTTAATACGCCAAAGAGAAGTGGCCAATTTTTACCATAAGTTAAGCATAAAATCCAAAATCTAAAGTATACAAGCTTGACTTTGATGTTGTCTGTCTTATTTAGGGAAAACAATTTTTTTATAATAATATAAAAGTTGATGTGTGTATATATTATGTTCCCTATAGTCTCTAAAACGGCTGGAACTATTTAGATTAAGTTTTCAGTTTTCATATTAGCAGAGCCGTGATAGCTCAGTGTCCGGGCGCTCGCCTTTAATTCAATATACTCGAGCAACCTGAGTTCGATCCCCGGTGCCGGCACCAATGAAGTTTTTAACTTTAAGTGCTGACTTATCACGTGCTCCGCGGTGAAGGAAAACATCGTGAGGAAACCTGCATATTTTCGAAATAATAACAAAAAAATATATATATTTCGAAAATATGTGAAGTCCGCCAATCCGCAGTGGGGCCGCGTGGTGGACTATGCCCTGATACCCTCTGTATAGAGGAGGCCTTTGCCCAGCAGTGGGACATGTATTGGCTGTTACTTTACTTTTACTTTACTTTCATATTAGCCCAGTGTGTGAACCGGTAAATTTTGGTTACTCGTGCAATTTTATAAGTACAAGTGTATTATTTTTCTGGTCAAGTATAGATCTACTGCTTTTTTGTTCTATTAATGATATGATGATATGATGATAACTTCTATGTCTGTGAACTTAAATACCTACATAAATTGTCGAAATTAAAATTAGAACCCTGGTGTAGCGGTCTATTATGTAGATATGGATATACAGCGTGTCTTTACAATCGCGACAATAAATGAACACACATATAGAGGATAACTTTTTAAATTGTATTAAACATTTAAATTCTTACAACATCAATATATACCGAGTTATTAAATTTTCCAAAACAAAGAATTTTAGAAGAACCTTCCTATAAAACTGTAACGTAAAGTTCATTTGTAAAGG